GAGACCAGCTCGTTGAGACATAGTGAATTGCAAAACGTTGATAGACCTCACCATTAGCAAAGAGAATAAAAGTTTGACCAGACAAACCCAAAATGCAATGCCGTTTACAAAGGAGCACTTATGATCACTTATATGTATGAGGAAAGACAAACATTGCGATGATGCTACGATCATTATTTGTAGTCCAATGTAAACATGTTGCAACTCTGCGCAATTTAGGATGACTGACAACAGATAATTTGGAGACTAAAAAGTTTTTTTTTTAACATTTGCAAGGTTTCACTCAGTCCAAATCGGGTTTTAAAGATGATTTCAAAAAGGCCATGTCAGGTTGCAGGATCAAAAATATTTGTTCCTGAAACATCTCAGTAATTGCGAGAGCTTCTCAAAAGATAACTTCTGTTCAGATTAATTTAATATTCGTTTTTCCATCCGAAATTCTTGTTATAACATAACTAAAGCAAAGCGCGCGCTCTGATTGGTCAATTCAGCATCTACTATTTACCCATGGGTGCATTCTGCTGACGTGAGCAAATGCTAAGACTATTTTTCCGCGCGCGCTTGTTTTTTCTGATCACGTAAGATTTGTTAAATAAAAGGGAACTCTTGTTCCAATGTATCAATGTTATGTTATAAAACAAATGGTGAACGCCATAGCGTGTACTATTGAGTTAATAAATGCACTTGGGAGGTTTGCTAAGCACTCGAGAAGCTAGAGTCGCACTCGGCTAGCGCCTCGTGCGACTCGTACGCTTCTTTCGGGCCTAGCAACCTCCCGCGTGCATCCATAACTCAATAGTACACGCTATGGCGTTCGCCATTTGTTAATTGGCAATACCCTGTGAGTGCGATTAACATAACGGTGTGAGTAAAAATCGTTGAGAGTAAGGGGATCCTTCTAGCGCGAAGAATAAGTGAAATGGTAAATTTGGATTAATTCTAAACTAGCCAAGTCCCGAAAATGATTCTAGAAAGCCTGTTGGGAAGATTAACCCTCAATACCGATTGAATTAATTTTATTTGTGAGTTCTGATCGAAGGTTATCGCAGTGAAAAGTAAAATCTCTCTTCTTATAATGTCTAGTATGAACCATTTCAAGGCACGCGCCACCTAACTGTGTAATTATTTTCCATGTTTGTCAGTTGGTCAGCTAAAGTCTGTTCTATTTATTTACTTTGCCTGAAAAAAATTCCAAATTAATGCTGAAATATCCTTTTGTTTGGTTTTCAGCAAACTTATAAAGAATTCATGAAGAGGGAGAATAAATCAGCTTTCACTGGTAAAGCTGTTCCTTATTCGACTACATAATTGCATGAATCACAGTGACTATAATATCAATTATCATATATGATTACTGCGTTAATCGTACATGTAATAGCATCACTCATTTTGAATCGTTGTTATTTCAAATCGTCATGATATCAATAATGATATGACATTAATTCAACAATCATCAAATGAGAAGTGTAATGAGTCAAAAATATAATGTAACCCAAGAGTCATAACTAGAAATCTCGCCAAATCCGGTACTGATTAACTGTGTTACTTTTAAACAAAAGTTATAAGGTAAACTTTTAACTTCGGTATTGAAGTCTCACACCGTTTGTCATACAAGTAATTATTGCGGTACGTGAGTAAATGAAGTGTATGTATTGAGCTACAGTATGTTTGCGATAGAAATATGTGCCGGTTGGCCAATTAAAAAAAAGTCTTTTAAGCCGAACGCAATCATGACGCACATAATTAAGTTGATGTCAAGTGTCAAGTACGTTTTAGTTTTACAGGTTTCCCCTTTTTCGCTGAACTGTCATTTCCTATAGGATTGTATTCTATTGCACGGAAATTTTAGCAATCATCAGGAAAGTTGTGCGAGCAATAAGTGTCACGAGCATCACTAGTAGTCAAGTTCTCTAATAAAGTTCCTCGAGCACACGTGTAGGGCAGCGTACATGCTGAAAGGATGATGAAAAGAGGGAAAAAATGATAATTTGATCGAAAGGGAACTTTTACCATCTATTTATACATAGTCATTTTCGTGAAACTTGTTTATCAGGCTCCGGTTGTTCAAAGGGTGGATAACGCTAACCAACGGATAAATCTCTGTCCAGCGGATAAATGTTACCAAAATGTACTGCGCTATCCACCGGATTGAGACTTATCCAGTGTATAGCGTTATCCAGCCTTCGAACAACCGGGGCCAGGTCTTGAAAAGGTGTCACAGACGAATACGTTGTTTTCACAAAACGCAAAATATAATTTTGAGAAACGCCTGCACCTAAAACCGCGATAAGTTTCTTGTTAGTTAGTCTCTTTCGGGCACCAAGTTTGTAACACGTCTTCGCCGTATTTCGCTCTATCCCAGTGACTAAGAGCCTCTGTGGTGCATCTACCTGTCGCCCCTCCTTTTCGTCTTGTGAGATGGTTCATGAAGGGTTACTTAAAATGTGCAGTGCAGTTATAAGAACTAGGAGAAAATTGTCATTTTCCACACTTTATTGAATTACACTATTTCTCCATCACCACGTTTGACAAGCAATTGATCCTTTAACTATCAATAAAGATCTAAACATGTGCGAGTTGACAATCAGCTGTTACAGAAAAAACATCAGAACGCTAACATGATCAAGACGCAACGTTGTTAACGTTTTTGCTTTGCCTTTACATTATTAGCCGCTCATCGAAGTTCGTAGTTTCTATTCTTTAAGTCTTAACATAACAATAAAATTCAAGATAATTTGGTTTTATCAAGTCAGTTGATAATGTAAATCGGCCACCGTAAGTTGAAGAGTTTCTAGGCTGACATTTCGAGCGTTAGCCCTTGGTCAGAGCGAAATAACAATCAAATGAAAAATCAAAGGGAACTCAAACGGAAATCAAATAGAAATCAAATAGAAACCAAATGGAGGGAAATCTAATGGAAATCAAATGAAAATCAAATGGAAATCAAACAGAAACGGAAATCAACTGGTCTACTTTTATTTCACAAATTGAAAACAATCATTTTTCCGTTCGATTTTCTTCAAAGTTTCGGAGCACGAAAGAGTCCAGATTTGTTTTAGCGAAACCTAGTTCCGATATAAAGTTTTTGTGTAAAGCCGGTTGTCAACTTGCAGCATGAAAAAGAACTTATTACCGAAGAGAGCATCTATGAAACATTTAAACCATTCATTAATTAAAAAAAAAATGACATCATCAAGTTTTTTAGAAATTTGAGTACCAACTCCTAAATATATGTCCATAATGTTCGCTTAATAAGAGATATTATATATACAAGGCTAAAAAGATTAAGAAAAATTATTCTTTATTTTTCTATAATTTTTCTTAATCTTTTTTGCCTTGTATATTTAATATCCTAATATATGCTTTCCTACTTAACAGTCTACGATAACAAACTCCTCCAAGGGGTAAGCATACTCCATCATTAATACATCACATAATTGCTAAACGGACATTACGTTCAAATCATTAAGAAGTTTTATATCTACCAATGATAAGAATGCAAAATTTATTTCTGTAAACCACTAGCGCTTATCTTAAAAAGAGTAACACTTGATCAGTATTTAATATACTAGCCTTAAGGAGACTTTTCTTTTTTTCTCACTAAAGACAATTTTCCTTTTTTTTTTTTTGTATTTTGAGGTCACTTGACCTTTTCCGAATTGTACCACTGAAACAGCGTAAGAATCCTAGTACAAATTCGTTGTGTAAGAGAAGTCAGCTCAAATGTCAAAATATGAGCCGCTATTGCAACACAAATGTGCTGCCATATTCATCTTCCACGGTGACAAATCCCCACCAAAGACTGTCACTGTGCAATTAGTTATCATGCATGTCCATGTCCATATCGGTCCATGATCTATGGATCACGCAGGCATGAAATGTAATCAGTACGAGGTAAAACACACGCACTTGATTACAGAGGTTGCAATCCACGAAGTAGCTTTAGAAGTTACAACAACGGCAGCAACGTGTCCGAGATTTTAGCTCATCTTAATGAGACACACATCTCTTGACGAAAGGAAGTAGGTGCACCCTTGGGAATGACCGTTTCCTTCTGCTTTACTTAAAGTACCTTTTCAGGTACGCGATGTGACCATTTTCCCTACTGAAAATGTACTCAAACATCACGAACGTAATGGTCGATTTCTGTAACCGTGATTGCAGTCGACCATTGATTTAGTTTTAGAGGCATCTGCCTAAAATTGCCACCATTATCTTCTGGTAGGCATAAATGATGCACAATGCATACTAATTCCTAATATCACTCATGAATTCATATGAATGCATTAACAGTTTCGCACAAACTGTTACCTCATATTACTTAAGAATTCATTTGAGTGCATTAACATGTACAGTTGCTTGTTATCATATCAAGCTAACTGCACCTCTGA